CCCTCCTCCCCCAGCCTCCCTCCCCATAGGCACCCCCCTCATTGACCCTGTGCCTCCGACTCCGCCACGTACTCATCTCCATGAACTCGTCGAACAGGCTGAAGATGTTGACCTGGTTCAGGCGGTAGTTGCGCTGCCAGGCCTCCAGGTCAGGGTCCCGGGACAGGTGGCCCTGCCTCGAGCGACACTCGTGGGTCAGCCACCTGGAGGTGGAGGACGAGAACCAGGTGGAGGACGGAGCAGCGCTGGGGCTGAGGGGCGCTCAGAACCGCTGGCTCTAGGCCTGGGCCCTGCGGGTTCAGTGCCCCCTGGGGGCAGGAGGGGGCGGGGGGCCCCTGGGAAAGGGCGGTCCTCACGGGCACAGATACTCCATGCAGTTGCTGAGCGTCTGTTTCAGACCCATGATGACGGCCATCTGCACAAAGAGGTCCATCATGCAGCCACTGAGATGGCACTGTGGGGTTAGGGGTGGGAGGTCAGGCACTGCAGGGTCAGGAGTGGGAGGTCAGGCATGGGGAGGTGGGCGTGTAGGGGGAGGCCCGGGAGGGAGGGTAGTTCAGGGACATGGCTGTAAGGCATCTGGGACAAACTGACCTCCTCCAGCTTCCACAACCCTGCCAGGCGCACGGACTTCCCAGGGTGACCGTTGATCCTGGAGCAGAGGACAGAGGGGCAGTAGAGGGGAAGGAAAGACCCCAGCCCCAAAGAGGGTGGTGCTGGAGGTGCAGCCGTCACCCAGACACACCCACTCTGCACACACTCACGCGTGCACAGACATGCGTCCTGCACGGCCTGTCAGGAGTGGCCTCAGTTTCCTCCCCACGGAGACTGTGCACATGGGGTTACTTTGTGTTTAAATCACCTGCTTTCCGTAACATGATGAAAAATGTAAGCTATGTTAAACCAAAGGCCGGCTCACGTCAGCGGTGAAATCCTGGCAGCACTCCTGCCCCAGGTCATGAAACTGTCATTTAACACAGTGCTGGAATTGTATAAATTTGCAACAGGAAAAAATTACTATTTTAGGAAATATGATTCTATACCTGGAAAAACAAAATAAATCAACTGAGAGCCTGGGTGGATAAATCGTGGCTAAGCACTCAGGGTGGATACAAAATTGCTGTCAAGCTTGACTGGCTTTCCTGGATGCAAGAAAATCCTGGGAATCGTGGCAGGAGGGAATAGCTGTCACAGACACCAGCAAAAATTACGAAATAACTAGAGTGAGATTCACAGGAGCTCAGTGGGACCCAGGTGAAGGAAACTATAAAACTGCTAAAGAACATGAAAAAAGGCATGAGTAGATTATATTTTGGTGTAGATGGAATGACGGGCCCCTGAAGACTTCCATCTTCTGATTCCTGGTGTCTGAGACTATGTTATCTTACACGGCAGAGGGTGTCACGGTGGCCAATCAGCTGGCCTTAAAATGGAGAGATTGTCCGGGCTCATCCAGGTTTATCCTTAAATGGGGAAGAGGGAGACCCAGAGAGACGGCGGATGAGAAGGATGCAGCCTGAGCAGCTGGCTCTGAGGACAGAGGAAGGGACCAGGAGCCAAGGAAGGCAGGTGCCCCCAGAAGCTAAAAAGGCAAGAGAGTAGATGCTCCCCGGAGCCTCTGGATGGAACCAGCCCTGCCAACACCTTGATTTCAGCCCAGGGAGGCCCATCTTGGACTTCTGGCCTCCAGAACTATACAGTAATAAATGTGTGTTGTGTAAAGCCACTGAGTTGTGGTCATTCATTATGGCAGCCACAGGAAACTAGTACGGTGTCCATGTCAATTCTCCCTAAAAGAATGTAAAACTTTACTGCAATCTGAAGCTAAATCCCACAGAATTTTGACGTAGTTTGACAAAAGGATTCTAAAGTTGACCTAGAATAATAAATGTGTAAATAAGCATAATTAAGGAAAAGTGGAAAGGAAGAGCCGTGAATGCAGGCCCCAGCTGACCGTGAAGCCGACGCAGTAACAGTTAACACGGGAAGGCACTGGACCATGGCCACAGAAAGACCAGAGACACGAGTGAGCATGAATGTGGTAGATGACAAAGGATAGTGGTGGTGACGCAGGAGTCGCTTATGGCTTGGGGACGACTGGCTGTCATTCAGAAAACAATACAACAGGGTCCCTCCTCCACCCCTCGCAGCAGAACAAGTTCCTTATGAATCAGAGATCTGAAGGTTAGATGCCAAAACCATAAACATCTAACGGGCATCACAGCTGAACAGGTTTTCAGTCTTGAGGAGGGAGAGGGGTTTTCGAGCATGGCACGAGAAACAGACACCATAAAAGAACATGTGACAAACCTCACGACCGACATAGAAAAGAACCTTTGCCTCCGGAGTAACATGGGCCACCGGATCAACTTTCCCCTCCTTTCCTGAATACCCCGCCCGCAGAGGCAGCGCACCTGAGGACGGATGACCTGAGCTCTGGAAACATGCCCTCTGGCTTCTGTCTGCTCCACTGCCTACTGGCTGTGTGGCCCTGAGGTAGTGCCTTAACCTGTCTGGGCCTCGGTCATCTCATTGGTAAACGAGGATCAGAGAGTCCCCACCCCATGGGGCTGCTGTGCGGCTCAGACTTGAGGAACATAAGGCGTGTGGGTGTGCGTGCTGTGACCCCACACTGTCCCTGCCCCAGCTGAGCTCCCAGCACACGACACCCATCCTGCTGCCTCCAGGCAGGAGACCAGGGATTCCCCTCCAGGACTGACAGTGCAAGAGGTCCGAGGGGAGACGCGTCGCCCAGAGCAAAGCCACTGGCACACGGCTTTCTCGATTGCAGCCAGATGGCCAAGAGTCAGGGACGTCTAAGAAAGTCTCTGACGTCAAAATCAGAGACCGACAGAAGAAAGAGCACACAAGATCGGAGGAAACAGACGTGATGCCAGAGTAGAAGAAAGAGAAAGAGGCCCCATCCTCAGACTAGGACAGCCGTCCACAAAGAGGAGGCCGTGGGGAACCTGCAGCCATCGGAAGGAGCGCCGAGAATGTGCACAGAAGTGGGACATTTAGCTGGAGGGTTGGGACACAGTTAAGAAAAACTCACAGAAGCTGGAACAAAATTGGGAGAGAAAAGCCAAGAAAAGTAGATGGTGAATTCAGAAGGTCCAATTTCCAAACAAAAAGAATTCCAGAGGAGGGAGCAGGAAACCGAAGCAGGAGGTCATCAGATCCGAGATGCATGGAGATCCCTCGGAACCGGAACCCAGGGAAGACCCGAGGCTCCGGGCCGGCCAGTGCGGGTCGTTTCTTCTCATTTGCCCCACTTGAGTGCACACGCCAGGCCTGCCGCAGGTGCTGAGAACTCAGCGAAGGACAAGCACCCACCCCACCTCGGGTGCGTCCCGGGCAGGAGGGACACAGGGTGGGCACCAGGGGAAGAGGAGTCTGGAAGGTGGGCCGCGCGTACAGAGGGGGATTGGGGACGAGCTGTGGACGCGGTGAGGGTGGGGCGTCCGCGGGACATCAAGTGGGGATGCCCAGAGGCAGCTGGATCTGAGTCTGGACTCCAGGGAGAGGCCCGGGTGGAGGCATGCGGCCTCGCTGCTGTGTCTGGTGGTGACTGTGATGGTGCCTCAGTCACAGAACAGGTCCTGGGCGAAGGGACGGTGAGAGTCGGGAGAAGAGGGAGAGCCAGCAGCGGGCGGGGGCAGCCGGTATTGAGGGGGAGGCAGGAACTGGACATGAGGTGGGAGGGTTCCTTGGGAGGAACGGACCCCATATTTGTGTGACGGTGGAGACCACCCAGTAGGGAGAAGGCTGGTCAGGCAGAGCAGAGAGGAGTGAGTTGCTGAAGCGTGTCGTGTGCAGAAGACCCTCGGAGACACAGGGCCGAGAACCTCAGAAGACGGGGCGGGACGGGGTGTGCAGAGCTGGGCCTGCAGAATGCACACTGCAAGCCGGAGACGAAAACCCTTCTGAAGTAAGGAAAATGCTGTCCCTCTGGGAATTCTGTCTCTGGCAAGCGCTCGTCCAGCCCTCAGTGAAGGGGAAACTACGACATCGGACTCTCCATCCCCCTGTCTCCGGAAAACCCGGCTCCTACAGTGAGGGGCTTCCCAGGATCAAGGGCCAAGCACGGCCCGAGGCGGCCGTCTCCAAGGACAGGGAAGGTGAGGGACCCCCATGTCTCTGGACATACCAGGAGGAGCTGGGGTTTTTTTAAGTTCTGGCAGAGTCTGGGATTAATCGGCAATGTGTATGTACCTTACAAAATTTAAGCAAACACGGAAGAAATGCAGCAATTATTTTCAGAAAAGGTGAAAAAGTATACTGACTGGACCCAAAGGGTTCATGTCGCTAATTAGGAAGGTGGGGGGAGTGTGTGTGTGTTATGTGGGAGACTCACTGCAGCTCTATGGACAAAGCCCGAAACTGGAAATCACCCAGATGTCCACCCACTGACGTGGTCAGTAATCCCGGCCCATCCCAGGAAGGAGCGCTTGCCATCCACGTGATGCGGCAGATGCCCAGGTATGTTTCCAGCGTAGAAAGCAGATAGAGTTACTTATGGGACAGAACCATTTGTGTCAGTGGGGTGTGTGTGACTTAAATGTGTAGCAAAGCCGGGCAGACCCACCGACCAGCCACAGGGACACCTCTGGGGACGGGGGCTTCCATGCTGGGTCCCCACTTGTTCTGAGCAGGAATTATTTTAAAAATTGGAAGGAGCAGGTACTTCCATCTTTGGGGAGGAGTCAACTGGGGGGGGCCCACCTGCCCAGGATGAAGGCGATGTAGATGAGGGAGGAGAAGTGGACGAAGAACTGCAGGGTGAAGAACTTGACCGTGAACTTCCTCTCTCGCTCCCAGAAGGTCCGGGGCTGCTCTGGAACGAGAGGTGGGGCTGTCCCTCGCCTGCCCCTCACCCCCACGGCAGCCCCCTGCCCGGCCAGGCCCTCTCCTGACGACTCAGGGACCCCTGCACCCCTCACCTGTCTCCCAGGTGCGAGCCCTGACCTCTCTCGGGAGCAGCAGTAGAGACAGTGGGAAGGGCCCTCCCTGGGCTCCGGGACCCCCAGCCCCAAATCCTCCCACCCACTTCCTGTGGCTCCCCCAGAAGCCAGAGAGGGGCTGGGCCCCCGTCTCACCAAAGTCACAAAGCTTCAGGGCCACACGCTTGTTGACCTGCGGGAGAGGGGACCGGAAGGCTCACCTCGGCCTCGGCAGAGCCCCCCAACCTCCGCCGCACCCGCCCCTGCCCCCACCTTGGTCATGATGAGGATGGTCAGGTAGTGCACCAGGGCCCCAGTCACCACCACGGCTGTGGTCACCTGCTCCCCCAGGAAGGGCAAGTTGCTGAAGAGGGCAGCAGCCAGCACGCGGTAGACCACCAGGACGTGGGCCATTCCAATCATGAAGCAGATCTGCGAGAGGGCAGCCGGGACGCTGGGGCCTCGAGAGGGCCATCCCCCAGCCCGGGTCCAGCCCCAGCTTGGGCTCCCCAGGGGTACCATAAGCAGAGACAGGACAAGGATGACCGTGCTCCGCAGGTAGGAGTGCTGGTATGGCCGGAGTTGGTAGTCGGGGCAGTTGATCAGCTCGAGCGCCATTTCCTCCTGCAGAGGGCACGGGACACATGCCTCAGACAGGGGACACACGCCTCCAACACGGGACACACGCCTCAGACATGGCAGACCCAGCTGTGCGGCCACACACAGCCCTGGACCGCCTGCCCTGCCTCACCTCGTCCTCGTCCCAGCCATACAGGTCCCAGTGCAGGACCACGCGGGCTCGGTACCGCTTCCAGAGCTCCAGGAACACCGTGGCTGCAGCGGGAGCAAGGAGAGGCGTCACAGGGAGTCCCTGGAGGGGTCTGGGGTGGCGGCCCATGGGGCTGGGGACAGGAGTGGCCCTGGAGCTCAGGCTGGCTCCCCGAGGTGCCGAGGTGACTCACCCCACAGAGCCATGAAGATGGCAAACAGCACAGTTCTGTCGTTGTCGAAGAAGTGGGTGAGCTGGGAAGGGAGGTGCATGCATGGGGCCGGGGCCTCCTCCCCCGACCTGTCGTCCCCCCAGGGGGAAGGGTGAGCCCTGCTCTGCAGGGACCCCACCTCGGCTTCCCCATCTCTGGGAGGACAGGCTGGGCCCCACCTGCAGGGCGAGCTGGGTCTGGAGTGGACCCCAGGGGTGGCAAACCTTGGCAAAGGCGCAGGTGTCCGAGAGCTGGTGGTATCTGCGGCCGTGGTCGCCCCGAGGGCACATGAAGATGTCGTGGGCCTCACAGATCTCCTTGCTGGGGGTGCAGGGGAGGACTGGTGCTGGCTCTTCCCTGACACAGGGCCCTCCTGCCCCCGCCCCAGGCCCCAGACCCTGCTGCACCCCATCTCTGGCCCTAGGACCCCTCCCGGCCCCCAGCCCAGCCCCCTCACCTGATCTGGCTGGTGTCTAACTGGGAGAAGCCGCTCAGGAAGACAAGGAGGCCCACCACTGCGGCGGGCACCAGCATGTAGGTGTACCAGCCGAGCCAGGCGAAGTACAGGGCCACCTTCTCACCAAAGTAGTCCCTACGGCCACAGCTGCCCCGTCAGGGCCACCCACCAGGGGTGACTACCACGGGCCAGCGCCTGGGTGGGGCGTGCCGCATGTAGGGGCAAGGAGTGTTGTAGTGACAGCATCAGTGTGTCTGTGGGTGCACAGCTGTGTCCATGGGGGGTACAGGTGTGTCTGTGGGGGCACAGGTGTGTCCATGGGGGGTACAGGTGTGTCTGTGGGTATACAGGTGTGTCTGTGGGGGCACAGGTATGTCTATGGGTGTACAGATGTGTCTGTGGGTGCATAGGTGTGTCTTGGGTGCACAGGTGTGTCTGTGGGAGGTACCAGTGTGTCCGTGGGGGCACAGATGTGTCTGTGGGGGCACAGGTGTGTCCATGGGTATACAGGTGTGTCTGTGGGGGCACAGGTGTGTCCATGGGGGGTACATGTGTGTCTGTGGGTATACAGGTGTGTCTGTGGGGGCATAGGTATGTCTATGGGTGTACAGATGTGTCTGTGGGTACATAGGTGTGTCTTGGGTGCACAGGTGTGTCTGTGGGTATACAGGTGTGTCCGTGGGTGCACAGGTGACTTGTTTGGGGCAGTTTTACCTGATATCATCAATTGGCTGCTTGTGGAACATGTTTCTCCACTGGGCCCATTTCTTCTTCAGGTCCTCCTCCCTCTGGGCACAGGTGGCAGACAGTGAGAGCTCCCTGCCCCCGGGTCCTGCCCTCAGGCCCTCTCCCAGCCAGCTCAGCCCTCACCGTGTGCAGGGGAAACCTGGTCTCAAAGACCCCATCCTTCACCAACTCCTCAAAGGTGTCTAGGGGTCACAGGGAGTCTCGGGTCAGAGGGGAGTGAGGGCAGGGGAGGACCCCACCCTGTTCTCCCCAGGACAGCGCCCCTCCTGGTGGCGGCTGCACAGGCTGCCTGCCCATCCCATCCTTACCGCTAGCTGCCATTTTGCTCTTCAGGATGAAGTTGACAATTCGGATTCTGGAATACAAGAGCTGGTTCAGGATGGCCCCGCATGACCTCGGTGAATCCCCCCTCTGTCTGGCCTGGTCCAGGCCCCTCTCCGTCCCAGCGGAGCCCCCAGCCCCCCTGCCCTGACCACCTGACCAGAGCCCAGAATCCAGGACTCACCTGGGAGCACACCCCCCACCTCCTGAAATCCTCCCAGGGTCCAGCTGCTCCGTGGCTCCAGGGTGAGGCCCTCTCAGGGGCAGAGCCTCTCCTCTCAGGACCCCGACACTCAGCCCTGCACCGTTTCCTCCCAGACCCCCACCTCCAATCACACCTCCCACCTGGACCCCTACATGTCCAGGGCACACCCTACACCTTTATGTGCACAAATCTCCTTTATAGCCCTGGGAGCCATGTTGCCTATGGGGAGAGAGAGGCTCAGAGAGGCTGAGTAACTTGCCCAAGGTCACACAGCCAGGAAGTGGCACAGCAGGCACCTACTACAGAGCCACGCTCCTCTGGAACAACCTCCTGTGAGACACTGTTCTCGGGTGTCCCAGGGCGCTCCCCACAGCCTGCTCCTCCCAGGCCCCATCAAGGTGCCCCTCCTCATCCACCCCTGAGACCAGCCAGTTGTCCTGTGTTCACAGGAGACCCCTCTGTTGCCTTGTATCCAAATTCCAGGCCAGTCTCCACCGACCAGGCCCCAGCTGAGCTGGAGGGGCCTGGGCTGGGCTGGGCCAGGCCGGTGATGGAGAAGGGAGAGGGGAGGGCGGTGGACCAGCTTGGAGGGCTGGAGGGTCGAGAGGAGAAGTAGATGCTTGGAGAGAGAGGAGTCGTGGGTGCCCGGAAATTGAGGACAGAAGTCCAGGGAGGGGCATTCGGTCTGGAGAGGAGAGATGGGGCCCCGCATCTGGGGTCCTATCAGCCTCTCCAAAGGTTGCCCACCTTTTTAGTCTGGTTTACACTCTGTGTCCCGGGGACACAGTCACATGTAACCTTCAGAATCCCAAGAGGTGAGAAGGCCTTCACCCCTTGTCACAGACACGAAAACTGTCCCTTGGGGCCTCCGCCCAGAGACCATCCTGGGGAGCCTCACCGCCTGGACCAGGCACGTGGGTGGCAGGCTCCTCTGGCCCTGGCTCTGGGCCAGCCTCTCACCTGGTGGTGGCTGGGATGGGGGCCAGCCCAGCCGGCTCCACGCTGGGGGCAGGACCCTTGGGCTCCAGGAGGAGCGTGCGGTACAGGTTGAAGAGCCTGCTGTCGGCTCGGATCCCGAAGAACATCTTCTCCTTGTCCTCCAACACCTGGGGGCAGGGTGCGCATGGGACCCTTTGCTCCACCTCGGAGCCTTCCCCCTCATCCACGGCCACGGGCTTGTCCCCTCCACTTCAGGCACAAGGCTGCCGGCCACCTCTCCAGACCACGCCCCCCGGGACCCACCAGACCCCGGGACCCCGCACGGCCCTGGCCCCCAGCCGGCCCACCTTGTAATGGAAGCCCTTTCCCCTGAGCTCCTCCAGGAACTGCTGCTGCCGGTGGACCTGCCTGGGGTTTCTCTGGGTGCGAAGCTCAGCCACAAGGACAAAATCCCACTGCTCAGAGGTCTCGGTCTGGAGGAAGGAGGTGTGGGGCCGGGCACAGGGTGGGCTGGGCGAAAGGCGGCGGGGGGTGGAACCCCTCCGGAGAGGTCCGATCGAGACTCACCTCACAAGCGTTGATCTCCATCAGCGGGAAGCTGTCCCCTTCAGTCCCCCCCGGGATCTGGAGGCTCTCTTCACCCTGGGGTGGAGTCAGACAGAAGACAGGCTCGGTGCTACCGCCTCCCGGGCCAGGTGCTCCAGGTCCAGGGGTGAGAACATAAAGCTGGGAGGCAGGCAAACACGTGACCAGGCGGTGGTTCCAGGTGGGTGGGGGGCATGGGGGCTGCGACACAAACGAGCAGCGGAGGTGTGTTTGGGAGTCTACACAAAGAGCTCCTGAAATGCCCGAGACAGGACATGCCCGAGACAGGACGGGACGGAGTGATGCAAACGGATCTCACAGAAGAGGGGCACTCGGAAGGTGCCCCATCAGGAAAACACAGGTCAGGTGACCGGGAGGCGCCACCTTCTACGCCCCGGTCACAGACATTTTTGGGTCCGGCAGCGGCAAAGTCAAGAGAATTCCTGTGTGTGGCTGCAGTGCACACGTTGGTACATGAATTTGGGAAACAAAATTGAACATCCCAGACCCTGTGGCCCGGCCCGGCCACCACTGGAGACACAGACAGAGCTCACAGCAGCATATTTCACATCAAAACTGTGGAGAGAACCCAGATTCCCGTCAGCGGGTGAACGGACGAGACACTGTGCCGTCCCACAGGGTGGAAGATCACACAACAGGCGAACGAGCAGGCGGTGGGCGGGACACCGGGACCAATGACACGGTGCTGAGTTTGGTAATGGTAAGTCCGATGGGAAGCCCACAGGAGTAACTGCTCAGGCACGCCCGGGATGGACAGATGGACAGATGGACAGGAGGTCAGTGGGCAGAACCTGAAGGAGGAAGAGAATGTGTGCACGGCCTCTGAGCCTCTCCCTGCATATCTGTTTACCATGGCAGCATCAGGAGCATCACATTCCCTTCCTCCTCCGTCCGGGAGGCGGAGCTTTACTCTCCTTGTGGAGCATGGGCTGGACTTAGTGACTGATGGGTGCGGAAGGGAGGAGTCACTTTATGGAGGAGAACCCGGCAGGTGCCCCTCGGCCCCGCTGAGGAAGGTCAAGTCACGGTGATGTCCTCGGGTTGTGGGGACCCCCTGACAGAGTGTGAGGTCACAGTGTGAGGTCCCTGAAGCTCTCGTCCTGTCCCAGCATGAGGAGACCTGGGGGGCCTTCTCCAGAGCGCGAGCAGACTCGAGAGTCAGATAGCCAAGGACAAGGAGGGACATGGGGACCGTCACACACGGGAGGGCCAAGACGTGACCATCCGTGCCACGTGGGATCCTGCAGGGACCTGGCACAGGAAAGGGCACACGTGGAAAAGATGGTCAGGGGGGCTGCGCTGGGTGCCCCAGGCGGTGGGGCGCTGACGTCGGGGGAAGCAGGACTGAGGGCGAAGGGGCCCCGTACATCTCTATAGCTCTTCCGGAATTCTTACAGCTCTGCTAAAAGCGCACTGGCAGGCGGGGAGCGGGGGGGTGGGGTCGGTGTCGGCGGGGGCATGGGCTCGGGCCTCGCTCCCTCTCAGTGAGCAAATGGACAGCAGGCTCTGAGGCCGGGACAAGTGACAGGGCCCCTCGCTGGGGGAGCTGCGTGGCGTCGGGGTGAGGCATGCAGGAGGTGGGGACAAGGGCAGACGGTCAGAGCAGGTCACGCGGGGGCACCCCGGGCCGAGGTGCAAGGGGAGGACGCTGGCTTCGGAGCAGAGAGCCTGGGGATGCCAACGCCGCATGCCCTCCGGCCAGATCACCACATCTTCCAGCCTCGGGCAGTGACGGTGTCTGCCCCAAGGGGCTTCACGCCATGCGCAGGGTGTCCTGTGGGCCCAGCGCAGCGTGGAGCACGCTGTGTGTGCCCATGAAAGGGACCCCAGCAGTATCCCAGCTGGCAGCTCCCTGGGACCCCCAGGGACCCCAGAGGGATAGGGACCCTGCAGCGTCCCAGGGGACCCCAGCCCCAGGGTGTGGGGGTCACTCTGGGGCTGTGTCTGTTGGAGCACCCCACCACACCTAGACTAACTGGCAGGTTTGGGCGCCGCCCACCCCTCCGTGGCCCCCACTGGCCCTGGGGTCCTGCCAGCCCACTGCCCCCCTTGGCCCCAGGGAGGCCCCGCCCCGCCCCTGCTCACCAGCCCTCAGCCCAGTCCAAAGTCGTCCCCTCCCCCTGCCAGGCATCACCCTCCTCCTGGCACCTGGTACTTTCCGCTGCCCCTGCTGATCCTCCCACCTGCTACCCCTTCTCTTCGCCAAACACATTCCTGCCCAGCCCTAGACCCGCCTCCTCCAGGAAGCCCCACTGGACTGCTCCAGCCAGTCTGCCTCGAGGGCTGCCGGGAAAACGCAGGCTGCCCAGTCACACTTGAATTTCAGATAAACAACAGACACCTTTTATGTAAGTGTGTCTCAACTATTGCATGGGGCATACTTACTAAAAGAAAATGTCATTGTTTATGCAGAACTCAATTTAACCAGGTGTCTGTTTTTTCCTTTGTTTTGCTAAACCTGCAACCTTGCTCCAGCCGCCCACCCCCACCCCGTGCCCACCAGAAATTGCCCGCTCCGGGACAGCCTGGGTCCCCTCTGTCTCAGTCACAGAAGCCAAAAATGCATCAATCCAACCATGGACGGCAGGCTCTATGGCATCAGACGCCGCAGTCACATGGAGACTGGCCGGTGTAGACGCCATCTCGTGCCCCAAACCCACAGGGTGGCTCCCACCCAGGGCCGTGAGATTCTCACCCCGTCGGTCGCGGGCTCGCCCTGGCCCTCTGCCCTGCTCTCCTGGAGCCGTGGGTCTCCACCTACCCCGGCCCTCTTGTCCCCCTCGCCGACAGCACCGCCTTCTCCCGGCTTGGGGCCTCCCGGGCACCCCCTGCCCTCCCCGACACCCACAGATCCCTGTGCTCAGGTGTGGCCTGCGGACCTGAAATGTCTCCTCCGCCTCAGGCCAGAGGAGAAGCCGGCGGTTCACAGACAGATTTGCAGGGAGGGGCAGGGGTCCCGGGCCTGGGGCCTCTGTCTCGGGGAAGAGAGTGAGTCTTTGCTAGAGGGGACAGGGGACATTCACGTCACCAGCATCCGGTTCCGTGACGTGCCCACCGTAGGGCTCAGTAAGCGTCATGCTGGAGGAATTCGTGAGTGACACTGATCCTCGTGTCAGCAGGACCCCCAGTGCTGACTCCAGACCCTGCAGGGCCCTCCTTGTTCTCCTGTGCCTGGGACCGAGCTCCTCCGGCAGAGGCCCGAAGGAGACACCCCCCTACATTAGCAGGCGGAGGCTGAAGACCACACAGGACAAGCAGGGCTGAGAGAGGGGACCCCGGGACAGGAAGGGGCAGCTCAGGGAAGCCAGACTGGGCAGGACTTTGGGACCCAGACAGGAGGAGGGAGCCCGGGAAGAGAGGATGTCCGCGAGGGACCCTCAAAGGTCGGGGAGGGAGGCCAGCCCTTAGGGGCCCCGGAAATGAGGCTGCTGGACCTGGCGCAGCTCCCGATTCACAGCGCATCACACAGGTTTGGGACGGTTACCTGGAGCCTCTTGGAAAAGGCTGACTCTACCTCCCCTGGGGGCTGGGGCATGATCTGGAGCAGTGGAGAGTGATGCCACGGAGGTGTCTGCCGGGCACTGACCCCCACCGTTGATTCAGACCACGGGACAGAGAGACCCCGCAGGGCAGAGCTACACGCACACCTGGGGGCTGCCCTTGTCACTGCCTGGTCACTCCTTGGTGATGGGCCAGCAGCCGCAGGAGCAGCCAGGTCAGAGCACCCCCCCCCCACTGGCCCTGGTCCACAGTTGGACAGAGACCAGGTTCTGAGAATCTGCTTCCCGTACACTCTGGGCTCACGGCCCCATCCCGAGGCTCCTCCAGCCAAGCAGACTGCTCCGTGCACCCGAAGCAAGGTGTCCGGGACCCCTGTGTCTCCGTCCATTGGGCCCCACCTCCAGGAAGCTGTGTGAGACCCCCAGGCAGGGGCAAGGGCCGCCTCTGCTCACTCCACCTCGGGGGTCCCAGCCCTGCCATGTGCAGACCCCCAGCACGTCCCTGCACACAGATCGGGGGTGCAGGCTCTGGAGTCACTTGTCGTCTCCCTTCAGCCCTTCCAGCCCCACCCCCCACAGGCCACACACCCAGTGAGCCGGCACCTGGGGCCTGACAGAGGCCAGAGTCCCAGTGGGCTCACCCCCCCGCTCCAGATGAGAAAACTTCTGGAGATGCTACAGCTCCGGTGAGACCCTCCCTCCCCGTGGGGACATGAATATTCAGAGCCAGGAACTCCTGCCCCTGCCCGTCCCTTCCCAGTCCGGCCTCCAGGTCACCGGTGGATGGAGGAGACAGACGTGCAGATGTGACGGCCACCCAGCTCCTGACCAGGCCTGGCCCAGCGGGCTACATGGAGCACATGTGTGAGATCACCTTGGCTGCACACGGAACACGCATGGGCCTCCCCTCACCCTCCATGGCCCCCCTTGCCGAGGGGCACGGCACGTCACACTCCAGCCCTCCTGGCACGCTGCAGTTTCGTCGTCCAGCAAGGGGACCCGCCCACCCCCATCAAAGTCCACAAACACAGAGAAGCCCACCCTCCTTGCCCAGCCCAGCCGCCCTGTTGCCACCCTCCCTGAGCAAATACCCCACCTGGCTCTGCCTCCTCAGCTTCAGAAGCCGGTCATCTGCCCCTCCGACCCTTCAGCTGTCCATCTGTCTGTCATCTGTCAGTTCATCCTTTTGTGTGTCCATCATCCCTCCTTCCCTCCCCGACATTCACTGACAAGGCAGCCTGCTCCACGTGCAGCCCGCTCGGGCAGTGCGTGGTGTGAGTGGACATGGGCCTGGAGGGGCAGGTGCCTACTTGGCATGGGAGGAAGCCTGGAGCTTGGCCTTGTAGGGCAAGAGGTAGCAGGAGGTGAGAAAGTGGGTGCAGCATTCCTGGGAGAGGGAAACGTGTGGACAGGCCCTGAGGGACAGTGAGGGACTTGGTCCTCAGCACGTCCCAGAGACTCAGTACTCAGCACCTCCAAAGACTTGGTACTCAGTACCAGTACTCAGCACCTCCAAAGATTTGGTAGTTACCACTCCCAGGGACTCAGTAGTCAACACCTCCAAGGACTTGGTAGTTAGTATCTCCCAGCGACTCAGTACTCAGCACCTCCAAGGACTTGGAAGTTGCTACTCCCAAGGACTCAGTACTCAGCACTTCAGCTTTGCAGAAGTGTAAAGAACAAGAAGGGAGCTGCCAGAAGGTGAGGCTGGAGCTTGGCAGAAGCTGGGCCATGGAGGGTGACCCATGGAGCTGCTCAGGCAGCTATGCAGCTTGGGCTTCAGCTGGGGGCAGTGAGGAGCCAGGGGAGGGATCTGAGCCCGGAAGGGCAGGCTTGGACCCAGGTCCTCCCTGCTGTCTGCATCCACACCTGCCCTTTCCAAAGGGCTGATTCTCTAGCCTCAGCCAAACCAGGTGCTGCCTCCCACCCCCCACTCCCACCCCCACCCCCCAAGGCCCTCCTCCACCCCAGCAGGGCTGGCATGGGAGGAGGGGGCTGGCAGGGCATCTGGTCAGCCTGAGCAGCCGGGGCCCAGAGCTGGCTCTGGAAGGGCTGAGGAGGCCCTGGGCAGAGGCAGAGGCAGAGGCAGAGCGAGAGGCCCCCCACTTGGCCCATAGCTGGGAGGGCCCTGGAGAGGCTGAGGGGGAGGCTGGTTCTGCTCCCCACATCAGCATGGGTCTCCTCCGGGGGCTGCCCAGGCGCGGACTGCCCCCCCTTCCCTGGCAGAGGGGAGAAAGGATGTCTTCCCAGGAGGTTCTCCACCTCCGGGGCCCCCACAGCCTCCTGCTCTGTCCCTCAGAATCAGAATCCAGCAGCCCCCAGCTGGCCCCTCCTCCACCTGAAGCAGGACCCCCAGGGAGTAGAGGGCCCAGCTGGTCCCCTGGGCCTTCCCACCCTGTAGGCCGCAGTCCCCTCCCACCCAGGTACCAGCTGCAGGGCAAGGTCTGGGGGTCCTTGTCCTGGGTGGGGGTGGGGGTTGGGGGGGACGATGGCGAAGACGCGATATGCCTTCCCTATCTCACTAAGAGCCCGGCCCTGGGGTCCCCAGAATCCCGGAGGAAGGTTGCCCTCCTGTGTCCTGCCCCAACACCACCCCCCCGCGCCCCCCTATCTGGGGCCTCCGCTGGCCTCTGTCACGGCTCAGTCGGCCGCCCCTCAGCCGCTGGGAAGCCGGCAGGCACTCCCCAGGTGAGGCTGGCAGGCTGGCGGGACGGCCCAGGCCGGGTGGGCGTGGCCGGGATCCCCGCGGCGGCGGCGCAGGTGAGACCCCGCGCAGCGCCAGACCCACCTGCATGGTGGCGCCTGCGTCCCGGGCCGGCCGGCCAGGCGGGCGGTCGGGGCGCGGGGTCCGAGTGTGGCTGCGAGGCGCCGGGCTCTCTACCTGACTTCCGCGTGGGACTCACCCCTCCCTCCTCCCGCCTCCCGCCTCCCTCCTCCTCCCCTCTCGGTCCCTGAGCCCGGCGGCCGGGGAGGAGCGAGCCGGCCTCGGACACCTTCCTGGGGACCTGGTGGGGGCGTCCCTTTCCCCCACCTGAGGCCCCGCGCTCACCTGCAGGGGGCTTCGCCTGTAAGGTGGGGTTAGATGGGCACCCCCTCCTGGGGGGAAGCAGGGTGGGGGGCACGTGAGCGCCCACCAGTGTCCTGTGGCTCCCTGCTCACCTTCACTCTTCCTGACTCCAGAACACACCTTTCCCAGGTCCCCACCAGAGCGTCCACCCCTCCGCCCCGCTGCCCAGTGTTGGTTCCCATAGAGGAGAAACTGGGGCACGAGGATTGAGGAAGAGACAGATCCCAAAAAGAAACGGCGTCTTCTCCTGCCCTGAGCCCCTGCTTTGTAGACCCCAACTGGCGGAGGGGAGCCATTGGGGTCCTGAGGACAAGTGGCTGGCCCCGGGCTGCATGGACAGCTGAGGGGCTGTCTCCACCACATCCTGTGGCCTAAGGGCAGCAGCTGGTGAAGGCTCTGGGCCACCAGAGAGTGACTGTCCTGTGGAGACAGCCAGCTGCCAACAGGGAGGGGGGTACCCAACAGGGAGGTGGGGTACCCAACAGGCAGGGGCGTACCCACACTCTGAAAGCTGCTCAGAAGCTGAGGACACAGGCCAGGAGCTCAGCCATCAAGACACATGGAGACACTGAACAGCATGGGGGGCAGGGAGCACCCACACTCTCACGGGGGCACCCCTGATGTCATGGGGACAGGGAGCACCCACATTGTCACGGGGGCACCCCTGATGTCATGGGGACAGGGAGAACCCACAGTGTTGGGGTACAGCATTATGCAGCCCATGCAACCCTGGGTTCAGATCCCGAGTTGACATGTGTTTGCTCACGGTTGCCCCAAGGAAAACATGGCCACACCTACATTTCTCCTTGGGGGTCCCCAGGGCAGGCTGTGACAGCAGCAGAGACCAGACTTAAGTATGAGGTGGCAAAGACAAGGGACCAATCGGGCAGCACAGAACCTGTGCAACTCGGATGGAGCAAATTCGGACAAACACATTCAGATCCGTGTGAGGGGGAAACCCCGAGGGTAGCACATTTCTCTCCCCCAGAAATGAAGTCTGGAGGTGGCCGGTCTGGGACTAGCATTAACTTGTCGCTCTGCCACCTTAAGCACGTGGTCCCATCACGGGGTTCAAAATGGCTGCTCAAGCTCCAGGCATCACATCCACATTTGAGCCAGCAGGGAGAGTGAAGGAGGGGCCCTCCACCCTTCACGTGGTTAGTCACGTGGCCTACTGCAAGGCAGCCTCGGAATGATGATTGCTTTTCCGAAGGACGGTGAAGGGCACTGGCGGCACCCAGCAGTCTGCACAGACCAGAGGGCTTCAAGTGCCCGGTTAGAGTTCAGGAAAGAGTCAGCAAGGGTTTCTGAGCATGAGTAATCCAAACTCAAGGTCCACTTTACCAGCCAGCTCCTGGTCTCTCCGTTCCCCAGTCTCCTGCTCGGGACTTTCTGCATTTACGTTTACGTTACGATAAAACAATCCACTAGCGCTTTATGGATTTCACCCCTGACCCAGGCGCCATTTCAAGTGTACACAGCTGCTCACTTTATCCGGCATGCCCAATTTTATTGCCACAGAAACACTGCTGCTTCTCATTCCCACCTTCCGAGGGTGTGCAAGAAACTGAGTTCCATCCAGATCCTTGCTGCTCCAGAGCCGGCACCTGTGGGCCCTCGGGGCGAAGGCAGCTCCCCAGCCCCGGGCAGGAGCACTGGCCAGGCCCCCAGGGGACGCGCCCCTAGCTCGGTGAGGGATGGAAGGTCAGGGCAGATCTCATCCCGTCCTGTCTGGAGAGAAAACAGGTGCAGCCCTCTTGGAAAGCAAATCAACAAAAGAATCAGAAGGCTTACAATTGTTTATACTTTGGTCTGTTAATTTAACTTCTTGTAAACTATCCAAAGAAAAAACCCAAAATAATGAAAATATATCCTTTGAGGCAAAAGTTGTAAACCAGCTAGCTGTTCAATAACAGGGAAGCATTTGAGCAAACACGGTCTGTTCACGTTCCGGTTCAGCAGCCGTTAAACACTGCTTTCAAAGAGTTTATGAGAACAGAGGAAAATGCTTCTACTGTCAAGTAGAAAACAGGTTGCAAATGTATTCATTTTTTATCTCAACCAAGTTAAAATGCATTAAAAGCCTGGAAGAGCAGATTTAGTATTTGA